GGAAGCAGTTGTTGCTGCGGGATGTTCCACTTAGCAGTTTTGGTCACCTAATAAAGCTTTCCAAATCCAAATTACTCTTGGTAATAATATGTATGTGGGGTGCTGGTATCCTTTTACATTTTGTCATATCAGTCTGCGAAGATAATTGCTCTTCAATACAGGAGTAACCCCTATTCATTGAACAGTGCTGGGGGATGGACTTCATGGTCATTAGGAGTATTACTTTCTTTTTACATCAACCGCTGGCAAATATGAACTATTCAGCTTGTAAACAAATCAAGAAAAAATTATTCTCCAGTCTGTCCCCATGAGCCCCAGTTATTCCCCAAGTGGGTGTCATCATCTCATCTCATGCATTGGAAAGGTGAAGGCAGGCTGTTGATACATTAAAGATGCCTCTGCCCTTCTTGGGACAGTCAAGTGTCACTGCATAGATCAGCAGCCAGGGATAGTAGGTGAAGATGGAAATGAGGGCTTTGCTTTGATATTTTAGAGAAATTTACTCTGTTTTTGGGTGCATGTTTTAGTGTAAGGAGTGCATTTGAAACAGCTGAAGGAGCAGATTGTGAAGGTACCACTATATATGTAGCACCCTCCTAGATAGGTGCTAGGTTTAGATAGATTTAGTATGTATTTTGATATGTAAATTTAGTTATAGTCATTGTGGCTGTGATTGTTGTTAGGTAAAAGCATATTTTGCTCACTGCATTCTACTATTCAGGTATGCCCAGTGTGTTCAGCTGTTGCTAGTTGGAAAGCCCCCTCTGCATCCAGAGAGCTTGAGAAGTTTCTGGGTGATAGGTATGGAGCTATGCAGATGGCAGCATGAATATTGATAAAGCCTTGGCCTAACCCAGAGAGGCAAGCTTTGATGGCATGCTGGGAGACTGTATATATTCAATGAGCACACTGAGTTATGCCCTTCCAGGCAATGCTGCTATGTCTGCTGTGAGGCCTCAGGTGGGCGACCTGAGGGCCTGAATGCTGAGACCTTCTAAGAGCTGACTGAGGGGTCATCTACTGAAGATCTGGTCTGGTAGAAGAAGGCAACCAGCTGTCCTTGGACCTTGTGAGTACAGACACTTCTGAAGGATCTTAGAGACTTTATGCTATTAATACCACTTCTGGTGCTAGATAGTGAGCTGTGGGTCTAGTTAAAGGCAACATCGGCTGGTGTCCTGAAGAGCTATGTCCATCTAATCTTCTACTAAAAGGAACTCTGCTCTTTTGGCTCTAAGAAAGAGATTTACAGTTAACTGCTACTACTACCTTAAAGCTGTCTACTGTTCACTACAAGCACATACTTTATTATAGCTTGTCCTGAAAAAGTCCTCAAATGTACATACTTCTGGTTTTTAGAGTATCCCACCTAATTCCCTCAACCCTATCCAAGTTTTCAAAAAATAAAAACAACAAAAACAACACCCCTAGACTGGTCATTGTAGAAACGTGTGAATGAGCCTATGTGCTTGGTTGCAGGGAAAGCTTGTGGGGAAGACATGGACAGATACCCCTGCGGCTCCTTCAGGAGTAGAGCTACATGTATAACATGGGACATATAGAATGGAGAGGTCACTTAGGGAAGGCCACCAAGTGTGTGATTTAATCCTTGAAGGATCCATTGCATAAATGTAGGAACAGCAGACTGGGGACTGTCATGTTGTAAAACACCATCCAAGTTGGACTATGGATAAGCCTCTTCTTTTTCGGTAAGGAGACTATCATCGTGTGTCATTACTGGTTGGATTCTGATACATGGCAGGCCATTGTCTAGTATCTGAAGGTACCTACGCTTATTATTTTGTATAATCTGGTAATGAATAGGCATGACATTAATTATTTTGGCAAAAATGATTTTGCTGTGAAATTGGCAGTTTGCCATCTGCAATATTTTGCCAAAGTGGAAACGCTCAATTTTGCTCATTGAGCTGCTTTCCATTGTATAGAGGGTGTTTTCCTTTTTTTTTGGTGGGGGGTTATTTAGAGTTGATACATTTATTTAATTTAGTGTTTTTGTATTTGTTTTTTTTCTTATATACTTTGTAATTCTTTACCTTGTTTTATTTTCCTTATTTTGCATAAAAAAGAGGGTCTGTTTTTTGCACAAAAACAGATACAGGATAGTTCAAAGAGACTTCTATAACCCTCAGTGTCAATTTAAACCCCATTGCAGCCTAAAACCTATCCTTTGGTGCAATTAGCCAAAATAGGGAAACTTTGCTAAAATCAGATAAACACAGAATTTTCATGGCAGTGAAAACTCTCAACTTCGCTTATACCTAGTGATGAATATTATGCAGTGTACATGTCTTCTTTACAACTAAGGTAGCGGGGCAATTGTCTCCTTCAGTGCACTAGCAGCCATTCTTGTCTAACTTGTAGTGACACCATGCAAACCTTTTCTGTTTTGCTTTTTATTTGATCTTTTTCTTATCTTCTTTCCATATAAGGTGCTAGAGTGCTAATATAAATATGCTATAAATTCATAAAATAATACTACTATAAAACTCAATAATCATCACCAGTTGTATTATTTTATGCACATTTATTTAGGTTGTGGAGTCTTACAAATTTGTCCCATACTTAGGGCTGTTCAATCATGCATGAGGTGTCACTTTGCATTTGATTGCAAACAGCTCCCTCTGGTGTTCATAGGTCCCCTCTGTAATGTATGAAATCCCCAGCATGTATTACTGTAATGAGAAATATACAGTTAATAAGAAAACTAGCAATAGGAAAATACAGTAGCATTCACTTAGAATTGATCTTATTTTGATGGCTGTCAACACAACCTTATTAACAAAACCTTTTAGAATATTTTTTGTTCAGGACTATAACTGATTGCTGCAGTCTCAGCTGTCACTTGTCATTGTCAGAGACTGCCTATACCAGTGATGGCGAACCTATGGCACGCGTGCCAGAGCTGGCACGCAGAGCCATCTCAGTGGGCACGCCAGGAAGAAGATGATGAGCGCGCATGGACCGGCTATCCAGATCTCGTCCACACTGGACCCCCATCAAACTACATTTCCCACATGTCTCTGGGGCCAGGGTGGGCGTGGACGAGAGGAAACGGCTCCAATGCGGCTCTGGCACCAGGGGTGATGTAGCCGGGGATGGGCGCGGAAGAGAGGAAGAGGCTCCCACACTGCTCCGGGGCCAGGGGCAACGTGTTCAGCATGAATGGGAATGAGCTGCTGGGCTGGAAGCCACACCGACGCTGCCAGAGGTGAGATTAACTGCTTGCAGTGTCATCCATCAGTGCCCAGCAGTGTCGCCTGTCAGTGCCCAGCAGTGTCGCCCATCAGTGCTGCCCATCAGTGCCACCCATCAATAATGCCCAGCAGTGCCATCCATCAGTGCCCAGCAGTGTCGCCTGTCAGTGCTGCCCAGCAGTGCCACATGTCAGTGCCCAGCAGTATCGCCCATCAGTGCTGCCCATCAGTGCCACCCATCAATGATGCCCAGCAGTGCCATCCATCAGTGCCCAGCAGTGTCACCCATCAGTGCCCAGCAGTGTCGCCTGTCAGTGCTGCCCAGCAGTGCCACCTGTCAGTGCTGCCCAGCAGTGCCACCTGTCAGTGCCCAGCAGTGTTGCCCATCAGTGCTGCCCATCAGTGCCACCCATCAATGATGCCCAGCAGTGTCCAGCAGTGTCATCCATCAGTGCCCAGCAGTGTCACCCATCAGTGCCCAGCAGTGTCGCCTGTCAGCGCTGCCCAGCAGTGCCACCTGTCAGTGCCCAGCAGTGTCGCCCATCAGTGCTGCCCATCAGTGCCACCCATCAATGATGCCCAGCAGTGCCAACGATCAGTGCCGTCTGTCAGTGCGTCCAGGTAGGCAAGTGGTTAATTGCAGTGTTGGCACTTTGAAATAAAAAAGTTGGTTTGTGTTGCAGTTTTGGGCACTCGGGCTCAAAAAGGTTCGCCATCACTGGCCTATACTATACAATGCCACACAATCTTATTCAACAACAGACCAGTATAATATTGGTTTCTTTTCTTTAGCTCCTTACATTGTTTTATTAAATAGGCCTGCTTGTATACTGGGATTTACCCCCAAGTCAAAATGAGACTGCAATTGGGTTTGCCATGATCACAGAAGCTGCCCCCCCCCCCCCCCCCCCCATATACAAATACACTCATGCTGAGTACAAGTGAGATCCTTGCCACATCTACAGTCATATCAGCTTCCTTATACAGCATTTTGCAATTAACAACTGATTCAAATATTATTACCAATCATAATACAGTAAGGCAGTGTTAAAGCGGTATTAAACCCCAAACCAAAAATGTAATATATTGCAGCTTACCAATCATTAAATGTGGTGGCTGCATCAGTTTTCTTTTCTTTGGCTTTTTCCCCCCTTTTTTTTCACCTGGTGATCTGGCTAGTAACACAACGCCGCTCTGGAGGAATTAGCACAGGAGGCACAGCAGACAGCAGCATTGTCAGTCTGAGGGGATGAGAGTGTTAGACTAGCAGATTTAGATACTCTAACAAATTGAAGCCAAACTCCAGCTCACACTTTATAATCAGTTACAGCAAACAGTTTTTTTTCCTTTTGGAATAAAGGTTTTACACAAATAAATAAAAGCTGATCATTTTAACCACAAGCCTACAGGGCACTTATACCCCCTTCCTGTCCAGGCCAATTTCCAGCTTTCAGTGCTGTCACACTTCGAATGACAATTGCGCGGTCATGCAACATTGTACCCATATGACATTTTTTGAGACAGATAGAGCTTTATTTTGGTGGTATTTATTCATCTTTGGGTTTTTTTTATTTTTTTTCTTAAACAAACCAAAAACCACTGAAAATTTAAAAAAAAAAAAAAAAAATTTCTTAGTTTTTGTTATACAATTTTGTAAATAAGTGATTTTTCTCCTTCACTGATGTGCGCTAATGAGGCTGCAGTGATGGGCACTGATGAGGAGGCACTGGTAGGTGGCACTGATGGGCATTGACAGGCGTCACTGATGGGGACTGAAAGGCAGCACTGATATATGGCACTGATAGGCGGCACTGATAGGCGGCACTGACGGGCACTGATAGGAGGCACTGACGGGCACTGATAGGCGGCACTGACTGGCACTGATAGGTGGCACTGGTTGGCATTGATAGGTGGCACTGACTGGCACAGATGGGTGACACTGAAAGGCAGCTCAGATGGGCACTGATATGTGGTATTGATGTGCACTGGTAGGCACTGATATGTGGCTTTGATGTGGCACTGATGGGCACTGGCAGGTGGTACTGATGAGCACTGACACATGGCACTGATGGACACAGCGCACCGCCACGCTGCACACTCCCTGAGCCGCGCATGCGCGGTGAGAATGGAAGGACATCATATGACGTCCTCCCAGAACGAGAGAACCACCATGCGCCTGTCATTGGACTATATGGAGGGCGGGAGGTGGTTAATCACCCATGTTAAGTGGTTTGTCTCATCCCTGTAAAATGATACATTCTGCTGGAAAGCTTGTTCTTTTTGAAAAAGAACACTAGATGAAAATAGAAGAAAGAAAGCCTAAAAAAGGAAACTAATAGAGCCAACACATCTAAAAATTGCTAAGCTGCAATACAATACATTTTATGTCTTTTTTACATTTTATGTAAATTTTACATAATTAATGTTTGCTTTTTGGGTTTAATATTGCTTTAAGCCCCAATGATGAGAGAAGTAGATCAACTCACAGCATCAAGATTTCTAATTACTGTATTCAGATCAATAAAGAGATTATTTCTATTTTGGTTATTATGGGTTACAGCATTCTGAGCATGTTTATTACACTTTGCAAGGTGTCTGCCGACATTAAAGAATAAGAGTTGTTTAGAATCAGATCAGGGAAAGTTCCCAGAAAGTTGATTGGCTGGAATAATATTTTGGCAGCTGATCACCATTGCTTTTCTCCGAGACAAAGAGAATCTCATAGGAGCAAACAGTCAAGTTCAGTCAATGCAAAATGTGTATTGCAGAAATGCACGAGGCTCATTGCCTAAAGCAGGACCTACTTTGGCATTTTTTTTGCACGTAGGGCAGTTGGCCTATGCTATTTCATGACAAACACGCAAAAAAAAAGTAAAGAAAAAACCATGATGCGCAGATGTGAATAGGCCTTAAGTTTTAAAAAAATGCTGTCAGGCAGGGAGAAGCGTTTGTAAAAGAATATGCATACAAAGTCTTTTCTATCACGAAAAGCCTACTTGTTAGCGTTTTTTAAAAAAGGAGTTTACTTCTGCTTTAAACCTATATTTCTGTATTATTCAGTGCTTTTGTGAACTGCTTTTCTATTTTGGAGAGTGTGGAAATGTTTAAATCCTTGCCAGATTTGTATTGCTGTCTATTTGACCTGGTGGTGGCGGTCACCAGGGTAGAAAGTGAAAGCATTAATAAATCCAAAGCAAACATTTTATTATATTGCAGCTTACCAGTTCTAGATGTGATGGCTGTGTTTTGTTTCTTTTTTTAGGCTTTATTTCTTCCATTTTCATCTGGTGATTCAGCCAGCAATGCTGCTGTTATTCAGAAGTTCAAGCTCTCCAGCAGAATGTATCCATTTACATGTTGAAAACCATCCATTTACCACTGACAGGGATGATTAAAATTTTCAGCTTTTACTTATTTATGTAATACCTTTATCCCAAAAGGAAAAAAAATGTTTGCTGTAACTGGTTATAAAGTGTTAACTGGAGTTTGGCTTAAATTTGTTATTGTATTTAAACCTGGTAATACATATAACACTCCCCCCGACTGACAATGCTGCTGTCCTCTGTGCCCTGTGCCTATTCCTTCAGAGTGGTGTCTCACTGATACAAGAAGTGTGTTACTGGACAGATTACCAGGTGAAAAAAGATAGAAAAAACTAACCTAAAAAAGAAACCTGATGCAGCCACCACATCTAAGGACTGGTAGGCTGCAATAAAATACATTTTTGGTTTTGAGTTTAATATCGCTTGAAGGACAGTCCAAAATTTTACCTTTGTAACCAGAGCAGGAGATGAGGGGAAATGTTTCAATAATATGATCTGTCACAAATTTCTACTAATTTTGGTGTTTCTTCTTCTAGGACAGCAAATAAAGAAAAATTTCCCTAAGGAGACAGGCAGTAAAAAAAAAATACATATAAATATATATATAAATATATATAAGGTGCAGTGCTAAAATGCATAAATGACATACATAACATATTAAAAATAAAGTGCAAATATCAAATCACACTAAGGTGAGATTGAGTGAGATGAAAAGTCCCAAAATAAGGCCGAACGTGGGGATCCGATAGATCCTAATAGGTGCGTGGGATAAAATTCACACAGTGCTATTTTAGCGCTGCACCTTATATACTTATATTTATATATATATTTATATGTACTTTACTGGAAGGTTCTTTCTTGGTTACCTTTTTTGGTGTTCTAGCCGCTGTCCTCTTGAGATCCCCGGATAGTGCTCGCATATTATCTTTTTAGTAAAAACAAAATCTTTTAATCATTTCAAACTCTTTGTAAAACTACAAGTAACATGTTCTGAAGTTACTTTGATGTTACTAGTAAACAAGCAAAACTTTTCTACTATTGTAGGTCGATAAAAAAAAGGATGCAGACAATGGCCTGGAACTTCAAAGGAAATAAAAATCACAGAAGTGTAAAATGTTAGGAAATGTTCTGTGAACTTGTGAAGGCACAAACTTTTTCTACCTAAAAATAGAAGTAAACACAAAAAATGTCAAAAGTTATTTAACTAAAATGTGCAAGACTTGAAAGGGAGATCCACGCTATTACATTTAAACTCCAGTCAAACAATTAAAACCAAAGATAAAATACATGTACTGTAATGGAGCTGTTTCAGCTGTCAAAGAATTATTATAACTTTTATGCGGTCCTGAGATTTACACAGCCTTGCCATAAGGTGCAGTCAGGCAGATAACACCACTTTCCCTGTTACATTTAAAGAATACAACAGTGTTATCACCAGGGGTGGACTGACAACTCATGGGGCCCCCAGGCAATAGGGGATCATGGGGCCCCTATGTCCTTGCCCACAGTCAAAGCACACCCAAAAATGTCTATAAAAGGTACCAGGGGCATTTTATGGGGCACCCTACTGACCCCGGGCCCTCAGGGAGTGCTCAAATGGTCAGTCCGCTCCTGGTTATCACTCTTCCCCCCAGCCTGTTGATTTGACAGTGAAAGGGCAGTAGCTGACTGCCAAGGTCGATCCTTTGATTACTTCATTCTCTCTTACTTTCATCATGTTCCTTTTCAGTACATTTGCATGCAGTACACCTGATTGGCTCCCAGTCCTGCTTCTCCCTCTCCCTGTCTGAGTACTGCTGTACAGGGGACTGTAAGAGGCTGCTATCAAATCAATTTCAAATGCTTGACACTGCTTGCATTAGAAAAATGTACTGATGTATAAATATTTAAACAGCCCAAACTGGTTAAAAACGGTGCCCCCCCCCCCCCCCCCCCAAAGCAAAGATGGAACTGGACTTTTTAGGCAGCAAAACTTGAACAAATTTAATAAAACATATATTTATTATGAAAATATTAGCATGAAACACCATGCATGTAAAAGACAGTAATAAAGTAGATCTATAAAGCATACATACACCATGAGATACAAGAGCATGCACAACTCTTGACATGAATCTTCTTCAGGGGCATGTATCGTGGTGGTATCATCTATAACAGCCTTTCTCAACCAGGGTGCCCAGGCACACTGGGGTGCCTTGAGGTTTCTTCAGGGGTGCCTTGGCAAAATGTCTAACAGTTGCTCAAAAACTTGTATACAAGCCAGCGGGTGGAACAAACCTGCCTTTTAGTTACACAAAGCCACAGGTTTGAATTGTGCACAACTACGACCTTCTAGCCGCCGGTATCCTGACAACCAATGACATCATCAGTTGTGGAGGATGTCAGTTGCTTGTACAGCATCCTAGTTTGACCCTCCCCCACCCCTCTCCATCAGTGCTGGGGGTCACATTAGCTCAGCAATGGGAAGAAAAACTGAGGGAGAAGAGAAACATTGGAATACTACTCAGTATCAGTGTGCAAAAGTTTATTTTTATTGGAAGAATAAATCACCTCTAATGTTGGGTGTCCTACATGTGTGGATTTTGATGAATTATATAAAACTATTAGAATCATTTTTCACATTTTAGAATGGGGTGTTCCTTTAAAATGATGGACAGTCTTGAGGCACCCCATTTTAGAATGGGGTGCCTCAAGACTGTCCATAATTTTAAAGGGTGCCTGGGGACTGTCCATAGTTGTAAAGGGTGCCTCAGAACTGCCCATAATTTTAAAGGGTGCCTTGACTGAAAAAAGGTTGAGAAACACTGATCTATAATATAAACACAAATCTCATACATAGGCACAACAAATTACAGGATGATACAAAACACAAAAATAAATACAACAATATGAATTGATAAACTACAGGAACAAAGCTGACAACAGCAACATACGTCCTGGGAAGAGGCTGATATCCCCACACACAAAGGAAAGGCTCATGTTTTGTAGGAATGCAAAGGACACCAAAAAATAATTTAATGATGTAGTAATGAACATAGAGTTCAACTTGTATGTTTTATTTCTGTGTAGCACTACCCCCGCAGGGGCCACTTGATAATGCTTGTCCTCAGTGCTTGCCACTAACCTTGCAAGCCTCCCAACACCTCTGACACTCTGGGTTCAGACATATTTCAACAGTATAGAATAATAATGCCAGAGACACAATTCTTTAGCAAAACCTTTATATTAGACTTGTTCAAAAAAGAGTAGGGCAAGAGAATAATGGGTTTAGGATATACAACTCCAGTTAACATAATAATATAGAACATTGGTAAAATAGGAATAATCAATTAGCAATGTTTAACAAATTATAGTCAAATTATAAAAATTATATTATAATTACAGTCATGAGTTGAAAGCTTCAACTTGTAGACTGCAACACCAGCAGTAAGTGGGGGAAGAAAAGGCTTGTTGAATTATCAGCTCCCTCTAGGCAACCGGCGCCACAATAGTGGATGCAGAGAATTATGTAAATATATACTCCAACATAAATAGATATAAGTATCCTAATTTGAATAGTAATGGCCTTAGAAGAGAAGAGGTTCCTTTAACTAGAGATTGCAACTTTTAGTTCTGTGATATTTAAAGTTCCTGTTATGCTGGTGTCTGTTGTCTTCTGCTAGCAATGGTGGGGCCCATAAGCATTAGTGAATACTGGTAATTCAATAAAGTTAAACAGATAAGCCATGGTACTGCTCAAAGCAAAGGTCTCCTGGTAACTAAAGTGTAAAGGTGTCTGCATGAAGTGTCTCTAAAGTGATGACAGAAAGAGGATAGGCATCTGCTCTCTCACCAATCCTATGGATAGCATGGTCTCCTAGGAATAAGACTTCTTACCCAGGCTCTT